TCTTCAACAATTTTACAAAAAATTTTCACTTCTAATATAAGTTTATTCTTTTCAGGTCAGGGACGAGACCCACTTCAGATTATCATTTCAGTGTTGAGATTAATGGTTATTCATTGACTTATACATTACATTACTCATGTTTACCTGTCATTCTGTCACTCGATCACAGTTTCCTTACTATTCTCTGTGTCCGTGATGTTAGTGATATAAAACCATATTTAAGTATGTTGGTAAATTTATTTTGCTTTAGGACTGGGACCTGCCATTTTGCATCACAAATCATCTTTGTGAGTTAAAGTCATTCTCTCAAGTGACTATATTCCAGATAACTCAATTAGTAATCTTAGTGAATCAGTTAAATCATGAAGTAATGTGCCAAATTTTTTAAAAATGAAAATGAGTAATAGAGAGCTTAGAGTTTTAAATTCTTATGTTTTCGAACTCATTAATGAAATTCATCTGTAACTCTAATGAAACTAATGAACATTCGGGTTAGTTCATATAATTTATTATTGGAACTTCTTTATTTTCAGATCTACTCATCAGTTGCTTCTCTTAACGTAAGCATAAGTTAGTCTTTTCCCAAAAATTGGAATATTACTGGACATAAAATCATGTTCAAAAACTTTCTTCTGAATATTTCTGTTATCAAGTATGTTTATTCACGTAAATTGTGTGCATGAGTATGATAAGATTTGAGAACAATATAAATTTCGAAAGAATTTAAATTACATTATTCCTCACAATGGGGACATTCAGAGACTCATGATTTTTTTGTAGTAGTATTCTATCTAAAAGTCTAAATGACTGATTCTGTTATAATATGAAATAAAATACAAAAATAACAATTTTTCTAAGTTACATTCATTGTTAATCTTTACAAAACTATAGAAATTTACTACTGAATAAAAGAAGCAGTTATTGTTACTCAACTGAATATTAATAATGTTAAACGTTGTATGCAATATTGGTATTTATTTGATTAGCTTCAATATCATTGAACTTCAACAATGTTCTGAAATGAAATGTAATATGATGTGTTTAAAAAAATAGAATTTTCACTTATAAAGTTCATTTCATTTGTACAACACGAGGTTTTAGTTAAATAATACTTTAACTTAGATACCTAAAATGTTGTGAATAATTACAAATGTGATATAAGTTAAACTAGATATTATAGAAATCTCATGCTTTATCTAGCAATATGAAAGTGTATATAGATACATCTATTTCCTTCATTCAAGAAATAATTTACCCATTCGCTTAAAAAAACAACAACAATTGAAGCACAAATTATTTAAATGTCAAGTGATGCTTCATTATAAAGCCCAATAGGTTAAAATAAATGTTTAAATGAGTTTTTATATAGATCATGAACCGATTGATGTTAGACCACCATTAAAAACCTGAAATCACTGGACGGCCGTTTTGTCCTATTGTGGGACTCCTCAGCAGTGTGCATCTACGATCTCGCTTGACAATCTCCACAACACCTAAACTGATAATTTTGATATAGTTCACTTAATTAAGAAAAGAACTATCTTGCATTTCTTATAATTTAAAACAAAATTTTTAATTATGAAATAGACTTTATTTTGATATGATAAGATTTCATTAAATCAGTCTAACTTCTTAATAATTCCCTTTAAATGAAATCCTATGAAATTCTATGGATAAACATTATAAATACATATCTGTAAAGTGAAAATTCCCATTTTGACGTCTGGTTAAATAAAGAAGAAATGAATTAAGCGAAAAAATTTCTTTTCAATTAGTTTTTCATCATAGCTTTACGCTAATATATAGATATGATTTACAATGATGAAATAATACTCATCGAGTAGATACAATACGTTATAATTATATAATGACATATCGATTATAAATTAACATTGAGTAATTGAAAACAAGAGGATTGATAATAATCAAAGTACTTATTCGAAAATCAAATAGTTGCTACGTTGCATAATATATAAAGAAAAGAGAAGGAACTAATAAAATATTTTGATGAATGGTCAATAGTACATATCTATAAGACATTGAATAACTGACTAATGAAATAAATAACCAAATATAAAAATCTTTCTATTTTAAATATCAGATTATACTTGATGAAAAAAAATCGATTATTTTAAAGTATGATATTCGAAATATACTTGTAATCAATCAAATATCAAAAATCAATAAATCACTTTTCTGTTTTCTTAAATTATAATATTGTTATTTTTTTTCAAAGAAGTTTCAATTGAACATAATATAAATATTATTTTGTAAACATTTATTAGAAAATAAAAATAATAAAACAATTGAACAATTGAACTCGACAAGTGTAATAAAAATAACAATAAAATATACATAAATCCATTATATTTTACCAAGATCTTATTAGTTGTTTACATTATGTAATAATTCAAAATTAAAATTATTAAAAAATAATGTTTAACATACTTATAAAAATGAACTTGTTTTGTTTGTGTTTTTGGGAGTTAATGAGAACGCTTGTTATCATGGTATAGTTGCAGAAGTCCATTGTTGTGAGTATAAATGATAAAAGTTTCTAACACAACAATCAACGAGGATCAGATATAACAAATAGCATTCAAACAACAACAACAACAAGACATATCATTAGTAAAGATTTAAATAAAATTAATAAAACTAAATAAAATGTTTTTATTTTTAAAATGTAAATGTAAATGATATAGCAATTGTTACCGAGTAATTAGGTAATGAAAAAATTACAAATGGTTACATTATGAAATAAATGAATATAAGTTAATGTTAGCTATGAACAACATATTTTAAACTTAATAATCCATAAATAAGACAATGAATTACTCAAGAGAAAAAAATCATATAGTGATATAAATAAACGTGAATTGAAAACAAAAATGATAATGTGATGTAGTAAAATAATAGTAATATTACCATAGAAAATAAAAGAAAAACAGAACTGTTTTGTTTTATGTAAATAAATCAAATTTCAAGTATTTTCACTAACGTGAAAAACTAAATTTTGATGGACCACTTCAAAAATTTCTAAAGTAACTATATTATTATGGTGTATGTAAACTGAATAACTGAAAGAACTGCAATTGGAATACTATGAAGTTCAAAGTTGTAAATAGTCTTTAATGAAGTTTGTTGTTTTATGATTGTCTGCTATTTCAATTATCATTATCGTAATTAGTTTATCAAAGAATATTTCTTTTAAATGTCATCCAAAAGACATTGTATTGCACATATTAAACATTATTCATTGGGAATTAAAAGTTGCTTAACTCTACTACATATAGACTTGTATACATTTACTGATTATGTCTTAAAGTAAATTATAATTCAAGTTAATGGAAGATGAAGTTCATCTTTGTAAACTACTGAACTAATCCAACTTACTGTTTTTACATAGAGAAACAAGTGTATAAAAAAGTGTAATACAGACACAATGGTCATTAAATTATATTGTTTTACTACTACATTATGTTGTGTATCTTATACAAACTTTCTGATGTGTTTTGTTTATTCTACCATTTAAGCTTTGGGATAGTACATGAAGGTGATACACAATGATTGTTACTTTGTTCAATTTTACATTATTCTTAATAGACCAGTGTGATTATCTTCAAATTTACCCCTGATACCACAATAAATATTAGAATTTATATTGTTTTATATATCCATTAGAAATATAAGTTAATCGAATAAGTATTTTTTTTTTTCATCATGGTTCTATATTAATTATGTAATGGGTTTTACAATTATGCATAAAATTAATATAAGATAACTGGTGTTGATTTAATTTAATGAAGTATCTCAATATTTTCTCTACAGATATTAGTTAGTCGGTAACACAGCAGATGCAAAATTCAATCTCATGACAATATTAAATAATCGGAGAGTATTTTCAGTTCACATCAGACCCGTCCAAATGTCACTGATACTTTTTAAGATGTTTCTCTAGTATAACCACTACTAACTTTTCGAGGAAGTGAATTTACAATCTATTAACTATACGGTTTAAAGAAAAACCTTTAAAAAATGTCCTAAAAATAGCTTAAATTTTCATTATCATTAACTTATGACATTATTATATATTCAACTGGTTCCAATTTAAGTTACACTAATTCCATTTCGGATATTTCACCATTAAGATCTTAAAGCAATTATACTACACGTTCTTACCTGAGCGACATAAATAGTCGTGATTGCTCCATAGAAAAAAAAATAATATTTCTACTGAATTGAATAGATAATGACATCAATTTTCATGACCTTGTTTATATATTTCTCACTAAATGATATCTAAGATATATAGTCTTTTGGTACGATAACTTTTCAGAAATGTTTATAACTAGAAAGAGAAAAAGTTAGGTAGAATGAAAATATCTCATCATTGGAATGCATACATGGGACTGTTTTTTTATAATATACAGAAAAAAACGTCACGGCTGTTTTTAAACAATAATCTTCCTGGTGTTCATACTTGTCAGTGATAGAGACAGTTGTAAAACAAGACTTATTGGTACTCTAGACAAAACACATGCACCAGTTTAGATTCTAGATGATATTACTGAATGCTGTAGAATGAAATGTAGTGTTTAAAGTAGCTGATTATTGAAGCGCGTTATGCATTCACTTTCGAGTCAGCATATGTGCATGACTCTTTGTTCATCTGCCATTATATTGACAAATTTACTGCTAAAATTAAAAAGGTATGTAAATGAACTGAATGAGACGAATGGATAAATAACGTAATTTTTCAGTGAAGAATCTTTGCAAAGTTACCAGTTATTAATCGTAGTTGTTTTCAGCATGAATCTTTAAACAATAAACTAAACTTAATTATTTAAAAGACTTCATTGTGTTAAGACTCACTGGAAGCCAAAATGGTAAAGTTGATATACACAATACATATAAACCTAATTCATTAATACAAACGTCAACTTATCACGTTCAGAAGGAGTTATAGATGAATTGGAACTTTTTCATATCTTTTATAGGCACAGGAACTTTTGGTCGTGTAATTGTGGTTCATGATAAATGTTCACAACAATACTATGCATTAAAGGTGTTGATAATCGAAGAATTGGTACGACTGAAACAAGTAGAACATGTCAAGAACGAAAAGTCGATACTAATGCAATTAAACCATCCTTTTATTGTAAAACTGTAAGTTTTTAAAACTCTATTTACTCGTTGTTTCATTAAGTTGATAGCTATTCGGTACACTGTGAAAACGATAGATTTCTCTTATGCTGTATATATAGTAGATTATGTAAACCGATAGAATGAATACAAAGGAACCGATGCAAGAAGTAATACTGTTAAGTTTCGAAAGGTATTTTTTATCAAAGACAATCAGAATCCAATCTATAACTGGTGTATAATAAATATTTTACCGAATTTCCAGACATTTCAACGAACTCTTGATGCCGAATAGTTTTATCATATAGATAAATTGATTATAAAAGGCATATAAAAAATGTGTTTCTTAACTTCATTATCACAATCGAAATGCTAGTAATTAAACTAGGTCGACTCATAGAATGCAGGAATCATTTGCTTTGATTTCATTCCTATAGTAGTAGAATTACACTGTTTACCTGTTTTTTATGTATTATATCTGGTCTACATGCCTTACATATTGTAGTTGAACACTTAGAATTATATGAATTAGTTGACTGACTGTTTAATTGTTCGGTTTGATCCCTCGAAAGCGTTATTTATTTCAACTTTATTTATTTTCTAATAATTATCGCCGCTATTTGATATTCAGAATAAATATTTGCATGTACGACATTTAGAATAATATAAAAAGAGTTAAATCAATTCCTAAAAAACCTCTTATCACGTTACAACAATTGACAATGAAGCACATTTTGCCGTGTCTGGATCAGCGTAAATGTATTGACTAAAGGTGAAACATGTGGAGTATTCCCAACCAGAACAAACGTTTTGCTGATTATAAATTTCTAGTAATAAGCAATTAATGTCTTCTTTTCCTCCTAGACAAAACTTGGTACTACTTTAATCACTTAAGTAGATAGGTCATCTGTCTATTCAAAATCAAATCAAACTAAACTTTGTTTTCACAATGAGATCACTCGATCCATATAAAATAAAATCTTGGTAAACATTAATAACATGCATTAGAGGCATACCTTTTTCAGAAGATATTTAAAGCCGGACAAGTTTGTTAAAAAGCACAATCTCTTTCATATATAAATATTACTTAAATAGATAAGTAAAACAAAATTACATAAACACAGTCAAGAAATAAAATATCAAATGCAATACTACAGGTGAATTAAATGTTAAGTATTTTGAAAGCATAAGTAGCCTGATATTTCCAATGAAAAAGCATATTATCAGAGGTTGAATTTTATGTTCTTTCTAGTTTCAGGCATTACATCAATTTTTTGCATTGTTTATTAAGTATACAATGGTTTATTAGTTTTTTTAATCGCTTCTTGTTTATTATGAGAATTAAGTTAAAATTTCCGAGATGTTTATGAGCAATCCATTGAACATATTTTGTAGTTTATATTGTTTTAAGCGGTAATTTTTATTTATTTTTGCTTCACATTATTCCATAACAAGAGAAAAATGAGTAAATTGGAAAACTCCGACTCAATAATTAACAAAAAGAAAGTAACATACGTGCAACTGTGGCTTAGAAATAACCGTTTTCGTTTAAAACACAATGGTTGATATTTTTAGTTAATGTAAAACTATTCATTTTAATAGTGGCATCCATCACAGGTTTCACATTATGATTAGACGATAAGAAATTCCACAAAGTAATATAACGAAATGATAAAGCATAAATATTTTACACAAAAGTCATTTTTGCTAAATGCATTTCTTATTGAACAGATATAATTTTCCAGTCAGTTACAACATTAATTGTAGTCAAACTGACTTTAAATTAAATATATTTGCTCATCAAAACAATAAACATTCAAAACCTATCAAATTGATCATGTACTTGATACACAGACTAAGGAGTTTATTACATTACAAGAATTATGTGAATTAAAAACTATCGAGTTCAATAACTAATGTCTGGTAATATTTAAAAAATCATGAAAGAGAGGTTTTATTACAGGTTATCAGTTAAAAATCATGCAAAATGATTTTAGTAATTATATTTATGTCAAAGTCAACAGCCAACATTCTCATCACGAAGAGTATTTTTATCAAACCACTCGATATCTCAGGTAAGGTATGTATAGTCATTTTAGACACTAACGTGTATACATTCAGCATTACAATGAGGTAACTTGTTCTGTACGTATATAAGTCAATCCAAATCAGTCAACGTTATATTATCTAAACCTTAGTTGAAATTACAATGCGATATCAAGATAGGAAGTCTAGCACCATATTTGATAATAATTAGTCTCAAACAATCCGTTAGCAGCAGAGGTTGATATGTCATCGCATAATGTAACCTTCAGAATATAATTGTTTTCAGTTCATTGTTGTAATAAAATAATAGGCACCACAGATGCTCAGTGATGATTTTCAGTTATAGTCACAAGGGAGTCATGTTTATATCACTGAATTACCTTGAGTTTCCTTTTCTTTCTTACAAATATATATTCAATTCATAAAATCTCCAACTAAGCATTTCTTCTGATTAGCTTTATACACCCAACAATAACTCATATTTTAATTTGAAACTAAAAAAATACTTTAGTACAAAGTATAACAATTACTGAGGCTTTCTATGTAATAAATTACTCATTACATTTTTCCTTATATAGGTGTAAAAATTTAGACAATCCAATTTCTTTTTCGAATGTTAATAATGAGTGAAACGTTTTCTGCATGTAAAATCAATATTATTCTGATTTATCCATAAATTACATATTTTATTATTTTAAAAGAAAAACTATGAAAAGACTTATTCAGAATTTCAAATAAAAGAATATTTTTCAGGTCATTAAACGAGATATCAAGTATCATTCAGATAGTTATTATTGATCTAAAGCAGTTTAGAAAAAAATATTTAGTTTACTGGCAGCTTTGACCTTGACACTTAACAACAATATGATTCGTTAACATCTAAGAGACAGGAAAGCTAGAATACAATGTTTTTAACTAGTTTATCTATGTTGATAAGTTCATTTCATAAAACTAATCAGAAAATGATGAAAATGTGATAAAATAAATTATTTGACAGTATTACTACTCCTTGGACTTTACTTGAATAAATAAAAGGCTAGCATTTCAATTTTTACTTTGATAAACAATGTATTTTCCAAAGTAGATTTCTGAATACTTGAAATAATGTTCTTTGGTGAACAAATTGTTGATTGGTATTATTGACCAAAAATATATGACCTGGTAAATATTTTTTCATGTATACATGGAAAAATATCTGATTGTTTCAGTAAACTATTCATGACTACCTCCAACCACTATCTTATCTCAACATAGTGCACGCAATGTTGAGTCACCTAGACTGGTGGCCAAATTACAACTTGGTCAATAGCATTCGATCTGAACTAAGAAGGACTTGACATACATGGCATTGATCATCACTCAGTGATCAATCAATTGTGATTACATCTCAGTCCTACAGGAGGTCGATAGCGACCCGGATAGTCCAGTGGTAACATCTCTGACATTGAAGCTGGGTGATACGAGATCGAATCCATCAGAGAGCACCAGTTCCCTCAAGATTACAGGTACACCTTGTTGACGAGTGCCAAGTAGCACGAAACCCTGGTCCATGGTTTCTTGTTGACTACCTCCGACCACCATCTTATTCATGAACCAAAAGAATTCATAAAGATTCAAAGTTAAGACACTATTTAAGTAAAAAAGATAAAGGATGTTTATACTGAAACTGTAATCTGACAAGTCCTTATTTTGGTGGAAAATTTATTATACACAGTGGTTTTCACATTGTTTTTTTGTGTATTTTTAGATTATCTTTGTTTCCGCTTACCTTTCATCTTATCTAGTTAGCCTTTTATTTTTTATATGTAATATCTTAACAATTATATGTGTGACCAGATTGTTCAAAATGTATTGTGCAAATATATCACATAATCCTGATAGTCTTCGTTTTCTCATTGTATTGTCGAATCATGTACAAAATTTCCTAGAGCTATAATATTTTAGATATTTCTCTCCAAGCGGTAAAACATATATATGTAGTTTCAATAAATAACTCTTAATTTCTTCTTGCTTAGAAAATCTCAAGCTATTTTGGTTGTAATTCTTTTTGGATTTTATCTATTTTTACATATCTCTCATTAAATGCTTTTGCAATATAAATGACTGTATTTTACAACTGAAAGTCACAATCTATTGTGATTAGATTAATTTTATGCCAACAATGTCTTGAAAAAATGAAGAAAAAGAAACAATAATTTATTAGTTGTACATCAATTAAGACGATTTTTTATAATTTCGAAATCTATTGAAATAGAGTAGTAAATTTACATTTAGATTATGCAATCAAAAGCAAATTTAGGTTACCATTGTCCTACAATAACTTTGTTAAAAATAGTTGAAAATATCGAATACATAAATGCTTTGATTGAGTTCATAAACCGATTGATGTTAGACCACCATTGAAAACCTAGAAGCAATGGATTGCCGTTTCGTCCTATTGTGGGACTCCTTAGCAGTGCTCATCCGCGATCCTACTCTCAAGATTCAAACCCAGTAGCTAGCTTTGTGAGGGAATTCTCGGAGTCCTAGTGAGGAGCCGTGACCAGTGGAGCTAATTAGTGTTGGATAGAGACAGGTATCTACCTCAGTACAATAGAAGATGGTCTCGCGATTTCGTGGATCGGTAGAGGTTAAACATTGAACCCATTGGATGCCAGCTCAGGGGTCCAGTAGGTTAAGCGTTCGCGCACAAGGCTGAGGGCCCTGAGTTCGAATCCTGCTAGCGGGATCGTGGATGCGCACTGCTGAGGAGTCCCATACTAGGATGAAACGGCCGTCCAGTGCTTAAAGGTTTTCAATGGTGGTCTAACATCAATCGATTCATGATCTCAACCAAAAACTTAATAATCTCCACAACCTCTATACTGATGTAAATGTTTCTTGTAACTCTTATGATATCCATTTTTTAAATATCTGAAAAAAATTAAATTAAACTAATGCATATGAAAAAAAATGTTTTTGTTTATTACAGTTTAAGA